TATGGAGTGATAACGAATTATTAAACTTCCAGAACCCTGGTCCACGCGAAGGACAGTCCTCGTCGAAAGTAATGTTTAGGGTTACAACAGAGTTATCAGAATGTGCATTTTGTATAGGTAATCACATGATTTCGAGTGCAATTTGGAATAAATAAGCACGAGTAAATTTAACCCTAACCCTAAAGACTAACAAAATTGCACGAGTGCAATTTGTGGTCTTTGAAAAAATTAACAAGTGCTTGTTTATTTTAAATTGCACGAGAAAGATCATGTGATTACGTTTTAATAATATACATGGAAAATACGAGATGGCTTATCATAATTAATTAAGCAAAGCGCGCGCATCAAGTGCAAAAAATAATTCATTCAAAACTTGCGTTCGGTCAAAACAACCGCGTACGATCAAAACAATAATATGCAATGATATCTTCACATCTTTAAGGTGCAAAAAAGGTTAAAAGTCCGGCTAAACAGTTCAAAGAATTGTTCAGTCTGTGTCCGAATCACTTTCGATGAAATGGAACCGTCGTTTCCGAGGTTTTACCATGTTTGTTTTTAATTTCGGCGTTAGATCGCTCAAGCAAAGTGTTAAACTGGGTCGGCTCGTAATTTTCGATTTCCTCGGCAATTCCCTTCTCTTAACACCACTAATTCCAAACTGACAACCAAAAAGCTTGCTCAAAAACCTTTTGTGCTTTTTACAGTGTTTTCGTTGTTTAAGCTGTTTTTCAGCCGCGGTGGCGAAAGCAATTACTTAAAACGCCGGCCATTGTTTCGCTCGCAAATTTTCAAATTTTCAAATTTTGTTGCGACATCCAGGGCTCGCATTTGATTGGCTATCTGTTAGTTTCTTTGATTATTGACCAATCAGAATGTCTGATTTGTTTCTTTCTTTGCACTGAATTGACCCTCTTCTGCACTGAATTAACTCTCTTCTGCACTGAATTACCTGAAAACTGCATTTATCTTAACCAATAAGAACTGAGTAATTTTTCCATCTATATTATTATAGAGGAAATAATATTATTTCGAGTTCAATTTGGTGTCATTAAGTATGAGTAAATTTTTCAAAGGCAATAAAATTACACGAGTCTGCGCGGCAAGCGCAATTTGTAGTCTTATTATTCACACCAAATGACACGAGTGATCGTGCTATAACTAAAAAATTAAAAAAAAAACGCCGATTGCATTGTCGAGTTCTATAGGCACGCAGGAATTTTTAAGAACATGAGAGAGGTGCGGAGAAGAACCGAGGACGATTGCTTCTCGTACTTCTCGAGTGTTCTTAAAAATTCCTAAGTGCTTATATAACTCAACAATACTCGAGGAACAAGTTTGTTTACTTCTTTTATAAAATGTATCGTGAATTGCGCGCGCTCGTACCGATGAGGTACCGTGCGTGCATTGTATCTCAACAATGCACTCGTGTGACGTAAGGCGCGCGCTTTATGGAAATTTATAATAAAGTTCGGATATAAAGCGCGCTGTCATTGGCTGAAAGAGCGTGC